CCCCTATTCTTAACCCCCCTCTACTACCCCTAGCGATAGGCCTTGCAGAGAGTCAGTGGAAAAGGGGATGCAGCAGCCATGGGGGTCAGAACAGTGGAGCAGGGCTGTTCCCAAGCCTCACCCACAATGCCAGAGAAACCAGAGGCTTCTGCTAAAATGTTCAGCGGTGACATACTGAGCAAGGTCAATGTGTGCCATCACCATCATTAGGGTTCAGAGTTAACACACCCATTGAGAAAAATGGGGCGTCTCAGCCCCCTCTGGACTGTTGTCTCAGGCTGGTTGTAGCCAGTGAGAACTCTCCCCCACCCTGTTAAGGTCACAGCTGGGAGGTTTTCATGGCCACTTGAAGGGCTAGGAGTTTTACTGTAGTTGGGAGCGGAGATTGTGCAGAACCTGTGGGAGCTGTCAGGGAAGGGCTGTCACTGCCAGTGCCCCCATGGCCCCGCTCAGTCCGGATCCCCTGGGGAAAAGGGGGCATTAGGGGCAGAGGAGCAGAGCCCCTGGGAGAGAGAAAGCCCCTGGGCTGAGGGGGAGTTGGGCGACCACAGGTGCCCTACGGCACATGGGGGTCGAAAATGCCCTCTGCGGAGTGGCACAAAGCCGCCTCCGGTGGGCCAGAGAACACAGCCGGGGCAGCCGACAGGGGCTGACGTAGATGAGGGACAGTTTGGTGGTTAGGGGGCCAGGCTGGGACTCCGATGGGTGCCAATGCCCTTAACTCTGCCCCCTCTGTGGATGCCAGGTGCTACGGGCACTAACTGCAGGGGCACCGGCTGCTTTTCGCTGTGTGTGAAAGGTGTGGGCGGCGGGAGGGGGAGCGGGAGTTCCTGTCTGAAGAGGGAAGGATTTTCTCCCGACTCTGTGACATGAGCAGCGTTATCCTGCGGTTCACAGCTCGGCCACCTCTTCCCGGGGTGTCACCAGGCCAGCACACGGCACCTCCCTGACCCCAGGGCCACCCCCAAACCACACGTCGGGGTCCTTCTCCAAGCGTCTCTGGCGCTAGGCACAGCCCCCACCCCAGGGTGCCCTCCAGCGGCCGTCCGCACCCCAACGGGACACGAGTTAGGGGCAGCAGCTCCCTGGGTCCGTCCTCCCTCTGCCGGCCCCCTGCCCGAGAGCTCCCAGTCCTGGGCCCCGATGCCTGGGCCCGTCCCGCCGGCCAGTCTCCACAGCGTCTCACGGCTGCGTCCCCAGCACAACCCACACCCCAGGGCTGCCCCGAGCGGGGTCCCCGCAGCCCATCACCCCCAACCCCCTTCGTCCGCCGGCCCTGCCCCTGCCCCTGCCGAGCGCCCCAGACACACCCCCTGCCCTGGGTGCAGCCTGCCCCGGCTCCGCTGGACGCCCCCTTAGCTAGGGAGTGCCGGAGACTGGGGGGTCCCAGCCAGTCCCGTCCCCCCGGCTCCCCCTACCCCTTCTCCCTCCCCCTACCCCAGCCATGCACCCCCAGCTCGCCAGCCCCGATGCAGCTCTCGGCTGCTCCCTATAGAGCCCGGACCCCCCTGGCCCCGTTCCCCCGCCATGGGCCAGCACCTGGGCCGCGCCCTGCGGGGGGTCCAGGCCAGCCGGACCCCAGCGCAGCATCCCCCGCTCCGAGCCCCGGCCTGACCCGCCTCCGGCCCGGCTCGGCCCCGGCTGGGTGTTTCTCTCCCGTTCCCCAGCGGCCCCCCGCTGCCCCCAGCCCCACTTACCCCCCTTATCCCCCAGCGCCCTGCTCTACTTACCCCCCGCCTCACTCCTGCCCCACTCACCCGCCGCTGCTGCCGCCAGCGCCCCCCAGCACAGCCCCAGGGCGAGGGGCAGCGCCATGGCTCCGGGCCGGGTCTCCCCACGCCGGCAGGGCAGAGCCCACGAGCCCAGCTGGGCGCCCACCCCGCCCCGGTCACACGTGGGGCCGGCCCCGGCCAATGGGGCCGCGGGGCGGGATCTCTGGGTGGAGCTGCGGATCTCGGGGTGGCCGGCGGAACCGCCTGCTGCAGGGCTGTGCGGGGCCGGACCCAGCGCCGGGGGGAGGGGGCTGATCCCCCGCCCTCCAACAGCCAACTCGGGAGAACACGGCCCCCTTCCCCCACCTCCCCAGGGGCTCCCGGTATCCCCCCTCCTCCTCAGTTCTCATTCCCCAGGGCCAGGGCCCCCCATTCCCCTCCCGGGTCCCCCCTTCTCCCCCACCAGGGATTCTGGGTCCCCCATTCCCCCTATACAAGGGTCCCCCATTTCCCCCCCACACCAGAGGGTCTGTGTGCCCAATTCTCCCACCCACCAGGGGTTCTGTGTGCCCCCATTCCTCCTATACAAGGCTCCCCCATTTCCCTCCCACACCAGAGGATCTGTGTGCCCAATTCTCCCACCCACCAGGGGTTCTGTGTGCCCCATTCCCCCTATACCAGGGTCCCTCATTCTCCCCCCAACCAAGGGTTCTGTGTGTCCCATTCCCCCCAGGCAGCGTCCCCTAATTCCCCTCCCCACACAGATAGATGGGCCCGTGGGTTTGATCCAGGGCAATGGGACGGGGCGGGATACCGGGGGAGATGGGCCCGTGGATACATTCCCGTACACTGAAGTTCATGCTCTTAGCAGCAGTCCCCCTGCCCCCCCAGCTTCCTGCCTTCCTGAGGGGTCCGACACCTGCTTGTCTCCTGATCGCAATCAGGCCTCCAGCCAATCCGTGGCCTCCACCCCCCTCGGGTGGCAAAGCCCCTGGTCCCTGACTGGCTGGACTCCCTGTGTGGGGCAGAGGCTGCTGTTGGAACAGAGGGGTTGAGAAAACCACCAGGGTTTCCCCCCGCGCCAACCACACGGGCGCCACACGGCACCTCTGCCCTGCACCTGGCCGGGGGCTCCGAGCAGGGCCTGGGGTCACAGAGCCGCCTCTGAGCTGTCTGCCCCCAGCACCCCCGGTACCTTCTAACCAGAGCGGGGCAAGAATTTGTCATCCAACATTTTTTTTTTCAGCAAAAAATGCAGCTTTGGCTACACAAACATTTGGTGAATTTGTGTCGATTTGGCCAAATGCTCCCTCCAGAAATGCAACATTTTTGGGGCGGGGGGGGGGGTAGTTTGTTTCAAAATTACTTTTTGTTTTGAAATGTCCCAAAAACCTGAAAAACATTTTTAAAAGCTCAGAATCTAAACAAAACGTTCAGTTTGAGACTGAATAAAACCTTTGTGTCACTTGGAATTCATTTTTTTCCTCATCTTTGACTCACTGAAAAATTTCAGTTTTGGTTCAACCCTAGACACATTTTTTTTTAC